CCCCTTGGCCATGCATCAGCCTCTAGGGCCATCTAGAGCAGTTTTCTCAGGACCATATCCAGTTGGGTTTTGTGTATCTTCACAGATGGAGATTCCACAACTTCCCTGGGCAACCTGTTCCAGTTTTAGACCCACCATCACAGTAAAAAAGATATTTTTGTGATTTGAGATAAAATTTCATGTTTTTCATTTGTGTCCATTGCCTTTTATCATTTAACTGCATACCACTGAGAAGAGTCTGGCTCCTTTTCATTCCCTCCCTTCAGGTATTCATACACATTGATAAGATTCCCCTTGACCCTTCCCTTCCCCAGGCTGAACAGTACCAGCTCTCTCAGCCCCTCCTCATATGGAAGACTCTCTATGCCCTTAGTCATCTTCACCACCCTAGAATGCGAGGTTTGAGTGTTAAGAACTGACATGCAGCTTTTCAAAAAGCAAGACTCTGGAGTACTGCAGAAGGTGCCATTTGGCTTGGAAATCAGTACCAACCTCCCAGAATGAATCAATAAGGACAGTGACCACAAGCATGGTTTCTAGGTAAAGAATAACAAAAATTGAGATTATAAGGAGTCAGAGATAATCCATTTGTTATTTGTTGTGGTTAAAGTCAGTAAGGAGGTATTTCTGTGATGCAATGGCTTCAGAGACAAAGCCGACTGAAGAAGCTTCTCCTCTTATCCCTGCTCATTTCTACCACAATGATACAGTTCAATGTTCCTTTGAAGTATGCCAAAGCATGAGTTTACACTAAAATTAGACATCTAGAATGACTAGAGTAAAAAATGGTCTGCCAGAGAGCAGGAACCTTTAAAACAAGCTATGCTACTTTTAACTACATCAACCCAACTGCATAAAAGGCCAGATAGTAGCTGTCATTTTTTCCCCGATATGATCCTAACAAAGTTTTACATGAATTACAGAAATCATGAATCATTAAAATTACTCCAAAGCATCTATTAGCCTTTCCACATGTACCTGTGTTTCAGCACTACTAACAGAGTGTTTTTCTTCTTTGTCGTCTGCTTTAGCATTATGCTGATTTTCAGCCGCTGCTTCTTCTAAGCTCTTTTGTGGCTGAGCTATGCGGTCTGGTGCCTGGCATTCACTTTCTTCAACTACTTGTTGTTCCCCTGTGGTCCTTTTCTTGGTCTCATCTTTGGGCTCTGCCAAGGTGTATGATTTTTGTTTTTTAAGCCAGGGTGGGAGGAAACGAGAAATACCCTTGCTTTCAGGTGAAGCTTTCTCCTTCTTCTGGCTACTTGGACTACTTTGGCTAGTGGGTGCTGGGACAGAGGAAGAATCTTGAGCTTCTTCAGAGGGTGTTTCCCTAGACTTTTGATTTTCTGGAGTCTCTGATGCTTCTTCAGGGTTGTCCTTGGCTTTGTCTGGTCCCAGCTGCTCAGAATCTTTCTTTACTTCAGTCTCTGAGCCAACTTCAGTTGTCATTGTCACAGCTTACACTAAAAGAAACAACAATAAGAAGTTTTGTTATGTAGCATCACTACTTTTACTGACTCTTACATTATTTTCAGTAATTTGCAGTAATAAGCTACAAGAGTTTCTAAAGTAAACTTATTTGGGTTAAAGAAATACTTCTTTTCAAATTCTCAGCTCAGAATTAAAACCAGTAAGCTAAAACTTAGTGCTCTGCAGATAAAGATTTTCAAAAATACTATTCTAGAGAGATAGATCTACCAATAGTTTCCTTCTCCTTGATAAAAATTTAAGTATGCTCACTGAAATGCATTTGTTTTATTATAAGCTACTCCTAATGTTATCGGCCAAGATTATTTCATGAATAACTTCAGTTCTCTTTCTACTAGGCTCCTTGGTTGACCCAGAAGGTCAAATTTCAGAAGAGCATCCACCTTCTCTAGTTGAACTGGTATATACAACCCCCTTACTATTCAGTGACACTTATCAATATACCACAAGTTTTATACAGAAAGTCTTTTTAAAGCAAGAAAGAGTGCATGCTTCCAGTTGTTCCCTTTTACATTAAGAAAAGCCATTCTTGCCTTAAAAGAGACTCAGTTAGACCTCATATAACTCTTCCATCCTCCTTATCATCCATACCTTTTCAGCAAAGAAGCAACCAGTAGGCTTACAGTCGACATTATCAGGAGACACTGACTTTAGATGGGAATTCACAGCTTTAGTATTTAAGTTTCAGTTTATAGTTAAATCTGTTGCATTTGAAGTTAAGGGTGTACTTTCACAATTTCTTTATCTCAGTCCATGGTGAGCCAGTGGTGGGGATGGAAGAAAATGAAAGAGCTAGCTTACCAAAGAATAGGAAAAAAGGATGGTGAGCTCGATATTGAGTATAAAACAAATTAGAAATTTTAAGTCAGTGATACTGATTACTAATAACACTTGGAAGCATTTTTTTTTTTTAAAGTAAGATTGGGTTCTTAATCACGAGTTCATACCAACCAACATAAAATCATACATAACTCTTATACTCTCTCACCACTTCTGCCTGCTCTTCCTTCAGTGAAATTAAAGACAAATCATAATACTATAACAACAGGATATGTGATAATAATCTTTAATCTCAACATTATTGGTATTTCTTGAAAAAATACTAACTAGAATAAACAAATTTTGTTAACTGTGTGGCACTGGATTTTGCTGTGTTACTTTGAAAACATAATATAATTATTTTTTCCAATTTATTGAAGTGAGCCAACAAAAATAAGCACACCAGGGTCCAGCAAAGTTTAAAATGGTTAGATTGCATTAGAAGTCACTGGTATTTATCTATAACCTTCTTAAAACAATTAGTTTTAAACTGATGGTCTGTTTGTCTGGCCTGAAGGTTAGCAGGTTAGTTACAATCACATTTATAACTTTAAAATATTGGGCCCTCTCAATTAAAATTGATTGCCATCAATGCCTGCCATTAGAGTCAGAACACTATAGGTCCAGGACTCCTGCTGAACTCAACAGCTGCTGCCTCCACCCCTGCCCAAAAAAGAGTCAAGGAGAAGGTTATCTATTTTCATCTTGATGCAGTTAACTTGCACAACACTTTAAACCGCACTTGAAGCCAACTGGAAACTAATTTAGGTCACAAGGCTGCAGCAACATTTTGCCTCTGAGTTTCAAATCATGTTCACAAGTAGACAGAAGTGAAGTTAAACTATGCCATGCCCAAGGAGAAGAAGAAGAAGAAGGAAGGGGAAAAAAAAAAACACAAACCCAAACCAAAAAACCAGAAGCTAAAAGATGCCCAAATATACAAGAGAGAAGCCCTTCTGGCAAAAGAGATGGACAATAAATATTGAGCCAAAGGAAACAAACTTGACAGTTATCTTAGTAAGCAGCTTAGACATAGGAGCCTTGAACTATCTACAGGCAAATTCATATTAAGCAACTACCTTGAGACCAAAAGTAACTACATGTTGTGGGTGCTTCTTTGTTACTTTAAACTTCACTATCTAAAACAAAGCATTCACCAATGGGGAAATGAAAGGAAAAGTTAGTACCTTTACTGCTATACTAGAAACTTCTGAATACATTTCAAGCTTAAATATTACAGTTATGTGGCCATTATTTTCCCTTTTTATAAAACCCTTCAAGTTTTAATACTACTAAAGCTTGTTGTGATAAAGTATTAATATTTATGTATTATTTATCTCAGAGGTAATAGGCCTCTGAAAGGCAGGTTTCCATTTGACTAGCTGTTGAGATTAAAGAACTTGCTATTTAAAGACACATATTAGTATGCTGTTTTAAAGCTACTACTAGTCAAATTACATTTTGCTATCATCTTCATACCTTACACAGAATCGCTACTGTTCTTTCCTAACGGTAGGTATCAATCTTAATAAAGAGAATAATGTGAAAGTTTATTATCAAGATGAACAATATATAGAAAACCAAAATCAACTTTCCCCGAGAGAAAAATCCAAACTTTTGCTGATCAGAGAGTAGCAATCCACTCTGCTTAATAAAGTCAAAATGGAGGTTTCATTATTAACAGAGACGGTGGTGATTTTTTTCTCATGCATCTCTAAGAAAGAGCCAATTTCTTCTCAGGAAGTAGCTAAAAAATTTTAGAGAACTTGATAAACAAATCTTTAAAGAAGCTACAGGAAAAGGAAAATCACTGTATTTCATGCATGCTTCTTTTAATTTTCAAAATATACAGAAATGCATTAAATATATGCACACAAAAAAAGTCATGTTATACCATTCTCCAAATTAAGATCATATTCTGCTTATATAGCCAAACAGGAGACATCTCCAGAAAATTCCTTAGAACTGAGCAAAATAAATCACCCTGTAAACACGTTCCTATGATATTGTTCTAACAATAAAAGGGACTGAGAATACCAAATTACACATCTTAACTCATTAAATTTAGACAGGATAGCAGTAGGTGGTATAAACTTGCTCAGTGTGAAGCAAGAAAGGTTCTGCATCTCCAAGTGTCCGGGTTTTCATAATTGAAGTTATAGTTAAAAAGAGAACTTGGCTTTATACTGCAGAAGCAAGGGAAACTTGTTACAGCCCCTGTTTGAATAGGTCTGTCCACATTCATTGAATGCCTTCATTTGATGCAAGAGGTGATTTCTTTCAGGAGCTCAACTTCATATAAGCTTGTAACTTCAGTGCTTTTCTGGGGGAAAAAAATAAAAGAGGAATAGAGAGGAAAAACCTACAAAACAAAACACACCTCTTCCCTAAGCCTGTGGATTTCTTTATACTCCCAGTAGTCTCTGAACGAGCTGTTAAGAGATGGATGAATCTACTGAACAAGGGCACTAACCAAGAGTATAAGGGATAGTCTTCTCAAAATATCCACCTTCTCTACCACAAGCTTTATGTATTTCTTTTTTCTAGAGTTTCATTTTGGCACAATAATCAGGCATCCCTTGAGAAACAGAAAGTCAGGTTTATCTGCCCTTCCCTGCACTCCCTTCCCTTGTACTCACTATTTCAATGCTCTGTCAGATCCTCCAGTTTTGTGGTTCACAGGAAAAACAGAGGTAGTGAGGCACAAAACATTGGACTTTTGCAATCAGAGCCAACTTTGCAAGTTGTAAAGTTTCTGATGACTTGACTACAGTCAAGCAGATCAAGTAACCAAGTTATCTGGAAATGGCTTTTTCCTGATCCCCTCCTACACTGACAGGAAAGACCTTGCAAGATCCCACCTAGCCCTGTGTCTTAACAGCCAACAATGTGTCAGAAGGAAAATGGAAATAAGAAGCAGACAGCATTTGTCTCAGAAGTAAGATCAGGAAGAAATAAAATAAGTTAGGTTGAAAATTTACAGCTCTAAACTTTAACTGCATTTTTTTCTTCCCCTCCTGTCCCCAAGTAAACTCTCATTTGCTCTTACTATGTAACATAAGCACACTACACATTTTTGCCCCTTTAGTTTTTTCAAGCTCTGTAACAGCTGCAGCAGGATAGGGTTTTCCTTATCTCACCTCTTTCATATTGCAAGGTAACATTAAATCCATATTTCATTTTGAAATGAGAAAGGAAAATAAGAGTAAGACTTGCACCAAGAGTGGACAACAGAGAACGAACCTTAGGGAGATGCTCAAATGGAAGCATTACCAAGGTCTGAGCAAAGAAAAAAAAAATCTTCATAGATTTTGTAATTGGCATTAAACTACTAGTGATAACATCTTTATCTTTTGTAATCCTCCTGAAAACCTGGCTCATGCAGATTGAATGTCTACCCAAACTCCAAGGACCAAGGTGGGAGGGCAAAAAGCATTGGAAACCACCTCACAATTGCTGAAAAGGAATTAAGTTTGTTAAAACAGGTCCCACTTTTATGGGGAGCAGATATCCTGCCCTAATCTTAACTCTGCCAACTTCCCCAAGCAAGAGTGCTGGCCAGGAAGCAACTGAAGACAACAGGTATTCTCTCCCTTCTCCATTCATCCCTTCCTCTCCCTTTTTATTCCACTGAGGAGAAATTAATGCTGGCCAGAATTCACACCTGAAAGCAGGGCAGAACACTATATTCATTCCTTACCACTGTCTTTCCTCTCAAATATACAGATTTGTCAGTTGGCTGATACCTTTCTTCCAGCTGCTACCATGAATTCTTGAAATGCAGTTGTCTGACCAGAAGGATTCCTGCCACCATAGATAAACCAGAAGACATAGCGAGTATAACATAAATTTTTTAAAAAAAAAAAAAAAAAAAAAAAAAGTGGCTCAAAGATCACAGACAACATTGAACTAAAAAACTAAAACCCCTGAAAGTTTCCTTTCACTGTAGTTGATAATTTGCATCTTAATTCACTGTTTCCATTATGGTATTTCTTATTCAACAGTACAGATGAACAAATCCTTTTTCCATGCATCTCTGGATCTCATTTTACTCATTTTTCTGAGTATATAAAAGTAGGAAACGGTAGTCCTAAACTTGTTTTTTCTTTTTCAGTTTGTCACTGAAATTCATAGCAAACTCA